TTTATCATCTGACTCCTTCATGACTACAGAGGTTTTTGTCTGTCTTGGTCACTGCTGGTCACACCTGGTACCTCGTGGACCCTCCATAAATGTTTATTAGATGAATGAACTGAGAATGTAGGGGGCGCCTGTGACCAAGCACCAGCAGATGTTTCCCTTGTAGGATTCAGGCTGTTCTTGCCTGAGCTATAGATTTTTCAAAAGAAGACAGAAATTCGGATATTTTTGAGAAAGCTCCAGTTTTTAAAAAATGTTGGCAACTGATTCACATTTTTTTAAAACGCTATGTATTTAAAAAAAAAACCACCCATGGGCTGAATTTGACCCATAGGCCCTGGTTTGCCATTTCTAGTTTAGGCGGAATTGGGTTTGTCATCTTAGCTGAAGACTCACGAGTTTACTGAAAGCAGTAGCTGGAAATTTATTGATAAGTTTTTCTTCCTTGTCCCTCAGTCCTAGCCCAGAGAGCGTGTCTCCAGAATCAAACCTCATCAGAGGAGGGATTAGGTATGGGTCTGGAGAAGGACTGTGTAGAGGGCTTCCCACCCATGAGGATTCGGATCTGGGCCTGGGTGGTTGCATCTGATGGGAACCAGCACTGTTATTCAAGAGTTCCTCAAAGCTCGTCACTTGTCTTCCAGACTTGCGTCACCTCCTGCTACAGTGCTAGATCCCAGGCCAGCCCTCCAGAGCAAGACTGGTAGGAAATTATGAACTAAACTGAGTTGTTAGACCACGACCCTCTGAAGTATGCTTCCTTGTAGGCCAGAACCCTAAAGTCTGATCATGCGTTGTGCTGGAGAAGATGAGGGGGAAGAGGCACCCTCTTACATTGCTGGTAGAAGCCTAAATTGGTCCGCTTCTAGGAAAGTAGTTTGGCAGTATCTATCGGATTTACAAATACATGTGTTCTTTGACTAAGGAATTATATTTTAATGAATTTACCCTACAGATGTATTTGAAATGAATTAAGACGAGGAGGTTTTTCATTGTGACATTGTTTGTAATAACAAAAACTTGAGAAGAACCTAAATGTTCTACAGTAGGTAACTAGATAAATTATGGTAGATCCACACAATGGAATACTATACAGGCAGAAAAAATAATAAAGAAAATCTTTATGACTGATATGGAAAGCCCTCCTACATGTGTTGTTTTGTTTAAAAAAAAAACAACAAGCAGGCTGATGACATCATGTATGCCGTGCTACCATTTGTAGCATGAAAGAGGGAATTGTATCTGTGTGGCTATTTATTCTTATATGCATAAAATATCTCTAGTACAACATAGAGCAATCCAGTAACATTGGTCACCTCTAAAGTGGGGACCTGATGACAGAAGGACAATGGAGAATAACTGTCAATGAATTTACTTTAATATGTTTCTATTTTTGAACATGTAAACATTTACTAAGTTAAAAAGAAATGCCATGTTATGTGCTTAGAAATTTTCCTAACAATATACCCATTGTAGTGTTGTTTATGATAGTAAAAAAAGTGGGAGCAATCTGCATGTAAAATAGTAGGACATGGATTAAATAAAAATTTTACCCTATTTAAGATTGTTCTGATTTTATAAATTTCTGATACAACTTGTTTGTCTTTTTCTCTCCTGATTAGAGATACTTTCTGTAGCTTCATGATGGAATACCTCCATCCTTCAGATTTTTCTAGTTTTCCTTTCCAGACCTTCCTCAAGTCTTTTTGTTTTCTTTTTTGTTTCAATGAGGGGTGGTAACACATTTGTTTTATTGAAGAAAGTAATGATAACTTTAAGAATAATAATTATTAAAGACCAAGAAAAAAAATTAATCAAGTCAATGAGCTTAAATTTTGGGGGTAGATGTCTGCATAACCCTTCATTGATTAAAACATTAATATTATATGCTTTTTGTTCAGGTTTTATTAGATAATCAACCATAAAGAGAAATTTGTTCTATTCCACATGGGTTGAAATAGCTTTCTCTTCCTCTCTGATCCTGTAATTCTAAAGATTTTATTTATTTAATTTTTTCCCCCCAAAGCCCCAGTAGATAGTTGTATGTCATAGCTGCACATCCTTCTAGTTGCTGTATGTGGGACTCGGCCTCAGGATGGACGGAGAAGTGGTGCCTCGATGCGCACCCGGGATCCGAACCCGGGCCACCAGCATTGCAGCGCGCGCACTTAACCACCAAGCCACAGGGCCGGCCCTGATCCTGTAATTCTAAATTAGCTTTTTATTGGAACACTGTGCAGTCTTTTGTTCCCTTAACACATTCTAAAAAGTGACTTTATCTTGCTATAACCTTATTAGCGAAAATCCAACAATCATTAGCATTATTTGACTCATTAACCTGGACAGAACACTTTTCTGTGTGTTAGTTTTCCTTCCCAGTAAAATAAGATTGGCAGGCTGTTGAGTCCTTGAGATGGTCTTGGGCATGCAAGACATCATAATTGTATTTACATGTGATACATAATTTATATCATAACATGCATTTACTAATACTTCTGTAGAGAGTTTGCCTTTCTTCCACAGTACTCTAGAGTTGAGATTTAAAAAAAAAAAAAAAGTCAGCAGACTAGTGCTAATCTGTAGCGAAGTTTTTACCTTTCCATGGCAAAATAAGAAGAAAAAGTAAGGATAATGTGGGAGATTTTTTTTTGTGTGTGAGGAAGATCGGCCCTGAGCTAACATCTGCCAATCCTCCTCTTTTTGCTGAGGAAGACTGGCCCTGGGCTAACATCCATG